GGATGAAGGAGCAATGAAGACCGGAAAAGTTAAAGAACACAGATGTTTCAAATTGCTCTACAACCATTTAGCAATTTAAAAAAGAAAAAGAAAAAAACTACTAGCGGGATTCGAACCTAGCTGCAAAGGTCGACGAGAAAGTGACTTACCACCTATTCATTTGATCCACATTGCGGCAATAATTCTTTAAAGAAGCATTCACTGGAAATTGAGCAGGAGAAAACGTGTGCAGCTGCTCTCATAGTGTTGTTCAGCAAATATGGAAAACGGATTTGTGATATATGATGAACACTCTTATGGTATACATCTCATTTCGAATCGCTACTGCGCATCCGCATGCATCCTTCCCTTTCAGGCGAATTGCAGAAAGTGATGGCAGTGATTGATTTACTATGGTAACTGAAAGGAGAATACAAACAAATTTTCTTGTCAAAACAACTGTTAGTGGGAGAAATATTTTTTTGAAAGAGTAATCAAAATATTTTTTTGAAAGAGTAGTCAATGAAAAATGTAGCAATGATGCCATAAGACTCTTCAAACGTTCTTCGTTCATATTCTTTGTTTCCCTTTTTCGTGTATATATCTCCAAAAGTTGAGGGGCCAGAGCCATCCTTTTAACTTGTGACCATCATCGACATGGTTTGGCTGTTCGAAAGCCATCACCTCGTGAGAAATTTTCGCAACAATCAGACGTGTGCGTCCTTAGATATCTTTGCCCAAATCGCTGATTTTTGAAAGCTGCGCAGTTGTCAGTGTTCCTTGAGCGCATTTCGCATAGATAAGAGCAGTAGATATAAAAGGAACTCAGAGAGCTGACAATATTGAACTAAAGGGTTCTTTGCAGCATATTTTAAAATATTTCGCTGGATATCAAAAAGCGGAAGTGGCGCGTTTATCAGCGTTACTGTGGATAAGATTTCCTATCGAATTTCAAATTTACTTAAATATTGAGGGAAAAATGCGGTTTTCCTCATTTTAGTCATATAAACCAAAAAATTGGATGTTGCATGGTTGTTTGTTCAAATATAAATTCCAAGACTATATAATTGTCCACATTAATTTGCAAATAACGGTGAAAAGGGCGTCACAGCCAGATGCCTCCGTGAAAGACGTAGAGAGTGCGCTCGCAATGTAATTTATAGACTATAAGGTATAATTGTCACCTGAAAAATTCAGGTCTATAAAGATTTAAGGTCTATAAATCCCATCGACCGCATTATAGTTCAGTTTCTTTTTCCTTCATTATTTAGGAGCAACAACGTCTACTCTCCTAAAGTTCAATTCTAAATCTTCCTAACTATCACTTCAAGCAAAATGCGCAGATTTAGATGTCTATATCAAGTGCATTTGAAAGAAAATAGTTATGCGCGAATAATGTACTGCTCTCCTAACTTTTTGAGGGTTTTTTTTACAATTTTATTTTCAATTTCCCAAAAAAGCCGGGTTGTTGCATGAGGTTTTATTTTATGTGAGAAAAAAATTCTGTATCTAACTTTCTGGTCAGTTAGAAGCACAAATGGAGACGCCATTACTTTTCTTATTCCCATATGTTTTTTTTTTTGAAATAAAGTGCATTTCTTTGCAACTTTAGTGTATTTTGCCGCATGAGTAGTAGTCGAAAGTAAAAAGTTAGTGTCCGAGTTTTTGTCTCGAATAAAAGTTTTCTCAAGGTCTCGTATATGAAGGTTCCATTTTTACTCGCTTTAGTAATGAAGGTTACCAGATCCGAGACCTTATATCTCTTATGAAGGTTGCAAGCCGTGATATCCTAATTTGTGCTTATTACTCAGCTTTTCATCTGCAAATAAAGGGCATCAAAGCCAAATGCTCAATGGAAGACGTTCGTTTGCGTAGAGAGCGTGCAATCTTAAGAAGCGGCGGATTCTCCCACCTCGCATGCCACTGCACTTCTGTTGGCCCAGCGTAGAGCATTGGTGATGGGAAGATGGACAGCACAGTCCACGATGGATCCAGCACACCCTCTCCAATTACAGCCTCATGTTGACGCATTCTTACAGATAACGGAACATCATCATCTTTAGTCCACCCACCTAGAATGATGACGAATGAACAGTTTACCAAAAATTTTAGTAAACGGGAGATTTTTATCTATTACCCACCAAGAGGATGCAATAACAGCATTGGATTACGGTACTTCTTCAGCAATTTTTCTCTCGTGTCTCTCATAAGCAGCGCATGCCCATTATGAATAGGATTGCGAAGTTGGAACACAAACACGGCGTCAGCTTCTTAAGACAAACATGTTGAATAGATTATCTTCAAGCTTGTCGTCATGACATCCACATTAAGACAGAATCTGACCTTTTTCCTCAAAAATCCGTCTCAGCTCTTTCGGGGTTCTACGAAATTCGTTGAGACCATCATCGAATGTAACTCGTTCTAGTACCTGAACAAATCGTTAAGGAGAAGGATAACGTTTTGTATCCGGTAATGCTTGAACCTTTCTTATTACTTCTGCTAAAACTGCTATTAATCAATTTTGTTTGCTAGATTATTGTCATTGTTACACTATATGCGAAGGCATATTGCTCGGAATCACTAAACATGTCGCATTGGTCTAATTTCTAAAGCCAGAATCAACTGTGTGAACACTTAAATACTGACTGTTCTCATCATTTTTCCTCAATTATTTTACTTTCAAATCTTTTTCATTTTGCGATTTCGCAAGAATGCTTAGCCGTCAAAAGCGAGGACTTTTAATCCCTTGAAAATTCTTGTGCTTTACCAGCAATGCTACGTATTTGGCTCTATGTATATACACCACCTGAGAGTATAAATAGCGATCATATCTTATTGTAGTGAGTGTCGCCTCTGTTTTAGCGAAGCGAAAAATCAAAAATCAATCTATCACTCCTCTTAGCACATACCGCCGCTCCTGTGGTTTTGGCTTAGTAATGCAAACAAGAAGTAAGCTTATTAGACATCCTACAATTATAATCAACGCCGCTGTAAATTTGTAATAATTATGTTAATCATAAGCGCGACTAAGGACTCGGCAGCAGGACTTCGGAGGCGCGAGCGGAAATCGTCTTTGGGAATACGGGGTCCGCAAATCCGAGAAATTGTAGTTTTCCGCTTTCCCTCTCCAATGTCACCTTATAACCGTCTCCGACAACTACCTACCACATTATTATCGTGTCCAAAAGCCTGCTCTGAGGCTTAAGAGCGCACCTGCAAAGGTAATCAATACACGTTTTCAAAACTGCATTCAAAGACAGTGTCCGGGCAAATTTCGACTTTAGATTTTTATCATTTCTGGATCATTTCGGTGTGCTGAACACTAGGAACTTCTATTACTGTGAAATTGGCAAGAAACCCCGAAACACCGGATTCTTTCGACTGGCAGAGATTTTAAAATTTCAGCTTCTAGTCCCACAAGGAATGCCTTCTTTGCTAGAGAGCACTGCTTTGAGAAAGGCCATACACGGGCGGCTGCGGAGACCTAAACGTCGAAGCGAATTTATCGCTTAGAACGCGAACTATTTACCTGAACTTTGGCAGTAACACAGTCACGGCTATCATAATCTGATGAAAGCCAAAATCCATAGTTTGACGAAGAACAAAGTATATAAGCAAGGTCGGGGGAAAGCTATGGAAAAACAATTATCGTCACGCTTTTGTCTAGTGGAGACCTACGGGAGACCTCAAATCCCCCCGTAGCAAACACTTTTTTGCTTTCTTATATCAAACATTTTCTGCAGTCCTTCAACCATGTCATAAGCAATGATCAAAGCACTTTCTCCCTTCCTTGCTAAGGTTTTGATTCGTTTTACCTCAAGAAAGAAAGCGCGCACCAAACCAACAGCGGAGCAGTGCTTTTTCTGATTGCA